CACACACACACACACACACACACACACACACACACACACACACACACTAATAAATGAATAATAAAAGTGTGGGCTGGTCAGATGGCTCAGCAGGTATGAGCACCTGCCCCCAAGCATTATGACTTGAGTTTGAGCTCCAGATTCCACCTAGTGGAAGAAGAAAACCAACTCCTGCCAGTTTTCCTCTGACCTCTACACACATGCCACTTTGCAGTCCCACACACCCAAATAAATGAATATATAAAGGTTACTCTTGTAAAAGCAGACAGAATAATGAGCTGAATATACACTGCGGATGAAGTAAAAATTTGGGGATACTGTTTTGGTTCAATGCTGCCTGGTTTACCCATTATTTGACCTCTCTTATAGTTCATGAAGGCGTGTCATTTAAAGTTAGAATGACTCTCAAACCACAAACCAGAGCTGGCCCTTTCCACATGTGATGCCTATGACAGAAGGTTTGGTCTACTCTGCCCAGGTTCATTTTAAAAGTGGATCATTTTCACTTTCTGCATGAAGGCTCCGCTAGCGCATCTTTTTTCCATAAGTACTGTCTTCTTTCAATACATGTTTGTTAACAGAAATGGCTTTAGTGAGCTCTGAATTTCTAGACTTCTAAATATCTTGTTCTCACTGCAATGTTGTAAATTTCTTTCAGCCCTAAAAGGGCTGAAAGAAATTAACCAAAACAGGTACATCCACGTGAGATTGTATGACCGTAAAATAATATGCCTGCCAAAGTCAGATATTAATTCATTCATTTAATATATTTTTATTATATACTATACTCCAGGAGCTGAGCCAGGCATAAACACCTGTGGGGAACAGAACAATTGTGTTGCTCTCAGTAAAACTGAGACTTCAGTTGGGGCTAAGCTCATCTCTGCAATACCACGCTACTCCATGTTACAGTACTAAAGTGGAATTTACTTTATTTAGTTTTTTTTTAACCTGTATTTAAATAGCAGCTGTAACAAATCCGTTTTCTTGCATCTCTCCCTTTTTCCTCACATCCTTCTTCTTAACTCTATAAATAGTGAATATGGTTGGAGAGTCTCATTTCGCGGCACCTCTTTTCTCTGCTCTATTTTTGCTTGTTGTGCACATTAACACTGGAGTATGTTTCAGTTGTTTAAATATTACAATTGGAAAAAAGCCTGCATTTGGCTGTCTTAACAGACAGAGACAGAATTGCCTTTAAGAATGTGGAGTGACATGAAGAAGCTGATATCTTCTAAGACCCTCTTCAGCTCTGTTTAGATTCCAAATGACAGTTCCCTCCCTAATGACAGACAGACTGCACAAATTAAAGTGCACTTTAAGGCCAAAATGAATAAGAACAGCAATGCTGATCCCAGAGCCATATACAGATACACCGTTGCCTTATAATCAAGTTACAGGATGCTGTCTGGGGCAAGCCCAAACTGCCCTGCATTCTTTCTGTCTCAAGCACATGAAATTAGTTATGTTCATTGAGGTAGTGTGCTTGCTAGGATACCTCATGCCAAAGGAGAATAAATGACATCTGATAATTAATAGGATAGTTGTCTTGACGGGCTTCATGATCGCCACTTCTGTGGGCTCATGAAGGATGCTTGTAGTTACACACTAGTATTCTCCTGATGCAGTTTGGGCAAATACCTTTAGTTACAATTCCACTTAGAATACCTCCCTTCATCTTCTTTTTAAAACTACTAGAGGTGGGGCTTCATGCCTTCTTCCCAACCTATACTGTATTTTTCTTTGCTTGAGCTTGTTGCGGTCCTGGTCGCCATGAATTCATATGTGGAACTCCTCTGCTGCATCTGGAAAACACTGTTTCATTGTAGTCATTCATTACTTTTGTATGTCTATAATCTTTCCACCCCCTCTTCTTCAATGATCTCTTAGCCTTGGAAGAAGGAGTGTGATCAGTGGAGCGCATCCTCAGGAAATTTGAAATAGGTCTCCCCCATTGATGTAGCTAGACCACTCTTGGACCACTCTTGGACATATATCCCAAAGACCTTTATTCTACTGCAGAGATATTTATTTGCTCATCCGTGTTCATTTTTACTCTAGTCACAAGTAGCCAGGAAATCAAAACATCCTAGATGGCTGTCAACTGATAAATGGACAATGAAAATGGGGTACATTTACACAATGAAAAATTACTCAGCTGTTAAGAAAAACAGAGTTATGAAATTATTGGGTAAATAGACAGAGTTGGAAGCAATCTTTCTGAGTGAGGTAACTCAGACCCAGAAACTACAAGGGGTTGTATGCTTGGAATCTTTACATATGTATGTTTCATTTGACCCATAGAGGTCAGGAAATTAGTTAGAGGCCATGGCATTGGGCATTTCAAAAGAGGGAAGACAATGATAGAAAGGGGTAGAAGGGAATAATGGAACATGAATGGATAAATCCAGTAAGAAACAGGAGAGCAGGATAGAGAGCAGGATAGAGAAAGGACTAGCAGGAGCGATGAGACTTTAGAAACACTAAAGTCCCTTGATCTTTTATAGCTACTGTTTGTCACAGTCCTATAAAAACACAAGCTGGGCACAGAATCTAAAAATCACACAGGTTGTATTTTAGATAATTCATGAAAGCATGAAAAACTCCTAAGTAGAATTTTGTTTTGTTTTATTTGCATTGTGTTTTCATAGAAAAATATTTTCTTCTTTGAGTTAATTACTGTGTTAATGGCTCCTGTGAAAATCCAAATCCAGTTTAAAAAAAAGAAAAAAAAAAGACCTATAACAATCAGATATTACCAGGCCTTGATATAGACTTTAGCCCAGGTTCTACCATAATGAGCTTCTACTACCAATACAAATAGTAAAATTTATATACCAGTTTCTACAAATAGTCTTACTTTTTACTTTTCAGCTAGATTCTAGAAATTTCTATTTTTGGAATATCAGTATTACTGAAAGGTGCTGACCAAGAGCCAGTGTCCCAGAAGAAACATGGAGACTGGAACAGACAAGATTTACTTTTAAAGTAGCCCCACACAGAAATAGTTTGCCTTGATGGTTCCTTCCAAAACCCTGAAATTTTCTTATTTTATTTCTAGCTATGGCTTTTTATTTATTTTGTGTGCATGTGTTTTGTGTGTCACACAAGTGGGTTCTTTTTTTTTTTTTTTTTTTTAAACCATTCAGGTTCTGGAACTCACTTGGGAGGTCATGCTTGGACACAGTTGCCCTTACTTTCATACCGTGTGATAGAGGTGGGGAAAGGTCTCCACCAAAAGAGAGAGCCCCCCGACCCCCCTGCCCTGGTCAGTTACTAAATGAGCAGTTAGTGTGGTTTTCATCCCCAACACAGGATTATATCTATGTAACACTTCGCCTGATCTTTGCTGCAGGCATTTTCCACTTCATCAAAGAAAAGCTTGCATTTAGCTACATCACTGACTTTCCTTGCTGACATCGCATCTTTTAGGCAGATATGCAGCAGAAGAAAGAACCTGTTCAGGATGACTCCGACCTGGATCGCAAACGACGGGAGACGGAAGCTTTGCTACAGAGCATCGGCATATCCCCGGAGCCTCCTCTAGGTACTTCAGCTCACTTGCCTCACTAACCCTCAAGCCCAGCTTGTGTGGATATACCATGTCCAGCATTGCTGCGCTTCTAAGTGTTAGCTTTATGACTGTTTTCTCTGCTTAGAACAATCTAGGGCTCGTTGTCTTAGTTGCATGCATTTTTTAGAACTGAGGGGGCTGGAAGGAGATGGGAATAGTGCTCACAGAGTCGTCGGCAGTTAATGACCTACTGACGGATTACATGCTCATAACATTCCTTTGTGTCACCAGCAGATTCATTTAAACCTGTTAAATGAATGTACAGAAGATATCTTGGGGTTTTTTAAGCATCAAATTGCTCACTGTTTCTCTTGCTGAATCCCAACCTCTCTTTGCCTATATAGATAATGTTAATTGGGTTATAAATACTGTGAACACTATAGGCATAGAGTCATTCCGTGGTGAAAACAGAGTATTCGGTGGGAAATTTGCAGAAAACTTAAAGTTAGCAGCTAATCTACAAGCTTATATTTATTTGGCTCATGTGCACCTTGAGTTCATTGTTAGTTAACATTTCCACTGCAATACCCCTCCTCCAACTCATTCATTTCTAATTGATTGTCTATGACCCCATTTTGTCATTGAGTTTGAATAATTTATTTTATTTGTTAAAGGTAGTTTGCATGAGCTTATTCTGCCATTTGCTTGCATATCTTTCATGAGTTGTTTTACTTTTATTTTATTTATTTATTTTCCATAATAATATCAAAAATAATCTGAGAGTGTCTGTAAAACTATATAATATCCAATACATTAAAAATAAAACCATTTAAATGATGCAGAGAAATAAACACAATATCAGGGCTGTTTTAAAAAGTTTCATCTTTTAATTCCATATTAAAATAAAATTTCTTTTATTCTCGTAGTTACTTAAATTAAGAAAAAAAATACCCATGTAAAGCAATTATTGCTATCAATATAAATGAGAAAAAGGACATATACAAGTAAAAATTAAGTATTGCTAAATATGATTTAATGCATAAACATGAAACTAAAATACCACTAAAAAGCATTTCATTTTATCTCAACTGTTAAATGTAAAATCATGTGTCTATTGCTATAATAAGCCCTCATAAAATTAGATTTTGTTTAACATCTTATTATGTAAGGCATAACCTATAGGGGATTTCGCTGGTAAGACTTTTTTGAGAAGTTGGCAAACTTCTTTGTATTTAGCTGACATATGATGTAAATTAGACATCTATCGATCAATTATATTTTTGCTTCAAAATAGTCTGAAATGTGGTTGCCATGTCAACACTTGTTAAACACAGTAGAGGTATATCTTATTATTTCTTACCCTGCATAAACCTGGTGGTTAAATTCTCAGCTACCCATGAATTCCTTCCAATATGGCCCATTTTTTTTTCATTCATCTCTCCAGCTTTCTCTTTATCTTAGCATAAAGAGTAATTAGGGAATTAATCAAAGAGCCACATGAAAATACCCAGCTCCTTGGAAGTTATGTCATTGTCACTGGAAAAAAAATTATTAAGCCCTTTACTCTATTAAATAAATAAAAGAAAATTGCACATGATTGAAATCAAATGGGATTCTATATTCATTTACTGAAGTTTCTTTCTGCACATGGCTTTCTTGACATGTATGATATGAATCCCCTTAATTCATATCAAGATGGCTGGCCTGGAGCCATCTTGCCTATTTGGTGCAGCTAATGGCTGAAGCACACTTGGCTTAGATGTGAAGATTGGAGAAAGAGAATGCATTTCTATTTCCTTTGTTTTGATCTTTGAGCATCTCTCTTTCTCCCGCCCTCAGGATGGCAGTTTACTTCTGTTCTTGTGTCTCCTAGGGCTGCCAGAGACAAGGAAAACAAGTCCCAAATGAAAGGAGAAAGTAGGGTGGGACGAAACCACTCATTAAATGTAAAAATAAAGCAGGCTGGCATTTCCCTTTGTTTTGAAAGAGATTTTTAAATTAACAGGCTCAACATTTACCCTTCCTCTCTGTCACTTCGTCTTAGGACAGAGTTGTTTATGCACCATGAACCCATACATTTCTTTCTAAATTAGATACTCAATAGATTTCTTACCCTTCTTGAGCATGTAAAATTACTTAGGCGCATCCATTTCATAATGTTTAAAGTTTTATAGACACCTCGTCTTTTAAACAGGTCATATCTATACTAACAAAGTAAAGTGAAGAATTACAATGAACTAGATGGTCCCTACCAAAGAAATGTAGGATGAGCTGTCTGGATAGAGACTGTGATTCTCCATTTTACTTCGTTAGGTGGACATGGCCTTAGAATCCCTAAGTTAATTCTGTCTAAATTCATTTCAGACTTCCATTTTCCAAAATATAAAAAAATTCACTTGACTTTCTTCCTTTTCTTTCCTTTTTTTTCTCCTTATCCCATCTCAATCTCTCCTGGCCATACAACCACTTTAATTTGGGCCCATTTGTTTTGATTTGTCTGACACTGCTCTTCCCCAGTGCAGCCGCTGCATTTTTTAACATGGGATACCTGTTATTTTCATTATTTAGTCCCAACCCCTATGTCTCCCTCTTCGAAATCAGTGAGCACTCCCAGTGAAGCTGGAAGCCAAGACTCGGGCGATCTGGGGCCATTGACAAGGTAAGAGTTGTCCTCTTAAAAGGCCATGGGAGGATGTCAGTCTCACAAGAGAACACTGTTGAAATGCCATCGGGTGTGCATGCAACTGTTATGTCTTCACTCGTGCTGAATTCATGCTGGGTTGCAATATTTAGGGACGGTGTGGTTCTTTTGACCACTGGAAACAACAATACCATCCTTCCTTGAGCTGGCTCATTGAGGACCCTGTATCTTCCTTAATGACTGTAAACATCCCCATTAGCTTGGGCCCGAAAGAAACAGGGAAGGAACAAAGTTCCATTGAACATTTACTCATCTTTTCACGGTTCAGCTTTGATCTGGTTTCTAATGCTGCTTTTAGTCTCTTTAGCCTCTAGCTTATCTAAGAGAGTTGACACATTTGAGAACCCAGTCCACAAAGCTTTGCTTCTGTTGTGAATTTTAGCAGTTTACTGTTGTCACTTCTGGAGTCAGTTACTAACCTTTTATGACATTCTTTGTCTTCCGAGACAGAATGTGGACATGCTCTAATTTGACCACTGAGGGGCTATCTGAGAAGAAAAAGGGTGGAGAGGAGAAAGGCCCTATGATAGAGTCGCAGCAACTCTCCTAAATTGATAGTGTTCTCCAGGATTCCCAGACGCAGGTGCCCCTGAGAAGGTGATAGGAATGAACACCAGTGGGGACGGTAGCCCAGCCAGCAAGCACCCCATTGTCCAACAGCCTTCCTCCTTGTTCAAGGTGTTTGAGCCTTCTAGCCACAGGGGCCCAATTTTTGTGCATCTCCCAGTTTTTCACATGAAGCTAGAAATTGCTTTTACTAGAAACAGACATGAGCCTGTGACCTATGGCTGGCAGCATGTGACCAATAGATGTGATTCCTAATTTGGGGGGAAATGATCAAATACTTGAAGCAAGCTTCAAATAAAGGAAATGGCCATCCTCCATACTGCAATCATGGTGAATTAGCCTTTGGGCTGTCAGTGCACTTTGCAACCTTTCCCTACCCGAGGACCTTTCTAAGTGTCCAAGCAACTTTCTTTATTAGAGAGAATTACAAAATTTTACACTTCTATTTTCCAGACAATCCATTTTCATATGCATTTTCTTCTGGAAGTACACATTGTCTTCATGGAGACCTGGGCAATTGGGTTTGGAAAGTGTGGCTAAGGAGAGCAGGAAGACACATTCTTAAATCCAAACACTTGAGAGGGTGAGGCAGAGGATCATGAGTTTAAAGCCAGCTCGAACACACAGACACACATACACACACACACACCATACATTCACTCCCATACACATACACACACCACACTCACACATATACACACTCTCACACACATATACACACATACATACACATACATAGAAATACACACACACACATACACCCATACACACACATGCATACGAACAGACACACCACACTCACACACATACATACACACACACAATACATACACATACAAATACACACACACACACACACACCACAGTCACTCACACACATATACACATACACACACTAATACATATACACGCACCCAACAGAAAACACCCTGAGAAACGAGAAACATCCAGAACTGCCCTGAGCTATACGCTTGTATTTTCTTTCAGATATGAACAATAATCAACATGTCCTCATGGGTACCAGCCTGGTCGTGTGTTCAGACAGGAGCATCCTGTTTTGGCAGGCCTCTAGAAGCAGTAGGCCCTGCTTTCAGTTTTAGAAGAATGAAAGGCTTTTGTGGGGGCAAAGTTGGTTATTTTAGCAAATTGCCCCTGTGATTTGGGGTAGCATGCATCTCTTTCATCTGTTGCTTTGAATGCTCCAGCAGGTCTTTGAGGGGTGATGAAGATAGCACAGTTGGATAAGATTTAACATTTATTTGGGAGCTGGCACAATGCGGTCACATTCCGTGGGGCTTCACTGGCTTCTTATATGGCTGTTTCTGTACAAAGGTGAGGCTGTGTCATTCTGCTCAGCTTCAATGGGTGCAGTTGGCAGCATGAAATTTTATGACAGACTTCACAGATGATGAGCCTCTTTGTAAACTTGATAAAAAAAAAAAAAAAAACCTACCACCACTCTGGTTTAGTAGCAAGTAGTGCTCCCCATAAAACACCACTTTCTCTTTCTTTCACCTTCTTAAACATGAGAGTGTGCGTGTGTGTGTGTGTGTGTGTGTGTGTGTGTGTGTGTGTAAATGTGGTGAATCATTTTAAAGGAATGAGGCAGTTCCTTCCTGCCAGAGTCAAACTCCAGCAAGTTTCATTTCATTATAGCCAAGTTCTGAGAAGAGTAGGTAGTGAGGAGCCAGAGGGCAAATCCTTGCTAAAGGCCGCTTTCCTCAGATGCAAGAAAATTGGCTGAGAGAGAGAGAGAATCATTTTCCAAAAAAAAACAAGCATGAAGTTTGTCTGAGAAGAATGAATTAGGAATCTCTTAGGACACCTTGCCCTTGTTTTGAATGTAAGATCCTGGACAGATTTATGTTTTTGCTTTAATAAAAAACAGACAAATGTTGCTATGTAGGAGAATATCATATTTTAGATTTTAGGATTCTATCTTATGTGTTCTTCCTCATTAGAGAAGTGAAATTTGTGAAAACAGTTACTATTGTCTTTAACACTTCACAGGACCACAGCCCGGGGAGGTGCTGACAACACCTCAAACATCACAGAAGTTTGCCTGTTTGTTTAGAATACAAGATCATTCAAAAGACTTCAGAATCTAGTTAACACATCTGTTCATGCCCCAAGGTGCACACAAATTCTGCTAGTCCTTTGCCAGCATTTAAAGCTCAAACTAAAAATGTCTTCTGAGAGCCAGAAGAAAATCGGCATGCTTCATGTCTCTTACTAAAATACTGAATTGTAAATAGAAAGTTTGCCAAACATCCTTTTACTGATTTTGAGAGCAATGAATGTTTTAAATAAAAATATAAAATAATTTCTAGTTATTTTATACTGGTATGAATTAAATATTTTAAAACTTAAAGTGTTAGAATTTTTTTTTTTACAATATCTTATTAGGTTTTATAGCCCACTTCTCAGTCAAAACTTCTATTTGTGATGAGTTTTTTTTCCTTCCTTTTAATATAATCAACTATTTCTAAGTTAATTGTAATGGACAAAGAACAAGCTCTTAGAATTTCAAATTTTAATTATATTAATAAAGCATTTGAAATGGTAATTTTACTTAAAAACATAGATATTTTTATAAAAGCCTTAATTTATACAACTAGAATTCCACAAGTGCATAGAGGTGCTAATATTATTGATTATTATTGGATAAAAATTCAAGAGTAGTCCAATGTATAAAAAGATCAAGAAGAGAAGTGTAGTTATTACAGCACATAGAGGATGCTAGAAGAATCCAAACCCCTATTCTTAGGCTTCAAGAATAAGCAGTTTTCTCTATATGATAAAAAAATATTAACCTGAATGTCCTCTATGCACTACAATTGAATAAAAGATACTTTGTAGATTGAAGAAGAATGATATTTGTTTATTTGAGTTTCTCCCTTGAGAAATAATAAGTTCATTGAAAATGGAAACTGAATTTGACATTGTAATTTCCTGTTATTACTGATCCCTGTAGTAAGGGATTTGAGGACTGTTCTTGAAATGATGAATTAATTATTACCTCAATTTTTGTATCAATGTCATCATAGAGACATCGTGAGCCCTGGTCATTTCCTCAAGGTCATACAGAACATAGTTGAAGTTTTTGTTTTGTCCTGGGCTGATTTATCTGAGTTTTCATAAACTATACATGCATCCTACATTATCTCAAATAATTAATATAAATGCTCCAGAAGATTATGCTGAAAATGTAGCAAATTAATGTTGGTAAAGAACTTAGAAGAAGCATGACCTAGAAATTGTGATTTTTAGATATTATTATTATTGTAATAATATACATTTTCATATTTGATTTAGATATTTTTTCAAATGAAAATAATTAAGTTATTAAGTTTTATTAAGTTTTTCTCATGGAGAATGTAGATGTCATTATCAAATTTGATAAACATGCTTATATCTTCATCCAAGTAATCATGTAAAAAATTTGAACACCAGGTCAAGGCTAGATTAAAGTCTTTATTGCTAGAGTTACCCAAGCCTTGCTCACGCTCCTTCAGGTTATGAACCAGAAATGAATCTCTGTACATGGCAGCATTCATCTCATATTGAGTCCTTTTATTTTCATGGTTGGCTCATAAAGGAGTTCATACGTACTCTCTTCTCCTATTTTGCTGGGGGATCTTAATGTCCTCAAAAACACAACCAAAGCAGCAGTTGCACAAAAGAACTTTTCAACATGATTCCACACATAAAAACCTCACAAGGCGATTGCATGTTGTATGATCTTCTACTGTAATAATAGCAGCGTTTTTTTATGGCACATCAACAACATGGCCATTGTAGTCAGAAAGAAACTCTCTGATGTTTGCTTTTTATAAATGGCTTGCAGAATGTGGGGTTATGTGTTTGATTATTGACCCTCTGTGGTCTAAGCATCAAGTTCTATTTTCCAATAAACAGGGACATTTAATCCAACCAAACATCTTGTTAAAGCTTTTAATTTTCATTTATTTATTTGGGGGGGGTTATGGATAAATTCTTGTTGGTCGTTAACACTTGAGCATGAGGATGTGCACGTGAGTATGAATGTGTGCATGGAGGCCAGAGGTGAAAGTAAGGTGTCCTTCCCCATTGCTCTCCACCCCATTGCTTGAGACGAGGCCTCTTACTGAACCTGAGTTCAGTAAGCCTGTAGGCTGCCTGGCCTCCATGCGCACATTCACACTCTCATGCACATCCTCACGCTCAAGGGTAACGACCAGATCATACAACATGCTTACTACAGGGATTAGTAATAACATGAAATCACACCTGTCTCTGCCCTTTGACCCAAGCGCTGGTTGCAGAGGCATGCAGCACATCTGGTTTTCATGCTGGGGCCCTGAACTCTGGTCCTCAAGTTTATGTGTCAGGAACTTTTCTGACTGAACCAG